TTGAGGTCGGGTCGCGGATCGGGGGGAACAGAGGTAGAAATTGTGTCCTCGAGGAAAGCAATCAAACGCTTCTGAAACTCTAGATTGCCTCCATTCTCAAGGGCTTTGGCCTTCATCTCGTTCGGATTCAGAGCTCCCGCAAGCCAGACTACCATATGGCAATGAAGCCCAGTGAGAATCCCCGCGAGGTAGGTTGAGCTACATAGAGGCAGATCGAGGACCTCAATCTGCCTCGCTCATCTGGACTATATGCGATGTGCCTCGATGGCCATAGAGGCACCGCGAGGGAGATCGAGGTACAATGAGATTTAATCTAAGGAGATTGAGACCAATTGAGAAGCTAAAAGCCGGACGATTATAGGCAATAAAATGAATATATTTTAATTCTACGGGTTACATTGGTACATATCCCGCCATCGCGCAATCGCCGCCGCGATCCAGCGGAGCCTGCCGCCCCCGCAAATGCGCTCGAGAGTATGCACACCACGCTCGGCACCAGTGAACGGTCAGCACGCAAGGGGCCGGGAAGCGCTGGCGCTGGTGATTGGCGATGCACGAGGAGCCCAGCAGGTCAAGGTGCGATATATGCCTCAGGCGGGGCGGACGGTGGTGGTGACGCAAGTTTGGTCCTGGGATACGATGTTAGTACTGCGCGACTCGGAGCACGACGATCTGCGTACCAGATTGAGTTCCACCCACCGGCAATGTTGGCGGGGAACTGTAGAACGGATGAATCAGAAGGGTTCTGCGCCGGATGAGGGGGGACACGTACCGTGGTGTAGATCGTGCGTCACAAGCGATTGCGACTGCGGTAGACAATGTCAGAAGAAGGACAGAGGCACAGATACACCTTGCATCGAGCTAAAATCTCGCGCTTCAAGTAGCAGCAGAGCAAGGAAGAAAGTCAGCGACAAGTGGCAGAGGGATTGAAAGTAACATAACTGACAGAAGGATAAAGCTGGCAGCGAGGGACGCTGGGAGGCGGCGGGCATACTTGTAGGCACGGCGGGAGAGGCAGGACAGGCGGAGGCGGGGGAGGCGGAGGCGGGGAAGGCAGCAGCGAGGAGGGAGCAGATGATGGCGGGAGGAAAGAGCAGATTGAAACTCCGACATCGTACGATTTCTTTATATTGGTGCGCACGGACCCGGAAGTTAGCCGAACTAAGTTAACGCGCTGACTGTAACTTGTCCCACTAGAATTGACCCAGTTGCTGGAGACTTTAGATTAGTTTGAGAAGATATGTACGCATGTGATTCTGAAAGCAAAGTTTTCCTCGTTTGCTTCTCAATCCCTCTCATTTCCGCTCGATTCCTCAATTTGTCTCGATGCACCTCAACTTACCTAGCTGGACTTTTCACTGGGAATGAAGGCTGCCACGACCCTGGGCTTCGACCGTCCCATAATACGCTGTGACAACACCCAACGCACCACCTTCGTCATTCTGTTGCTTGGGATCAAACGCTAAAATTGCCTTGATAAAGGCCTTCATGTACACGTTGAAGAATTGCGACCCAATGAAGGGATTTTTGGCGATCTCGACTGCCTGGTTTATATAATCGGGAACATCTCCGGGCAATAACGCATCCAAGTCAATCTCAGAACCAGCCAGGAACTTCACAAGTGGGTTGTACACATCGGCGGGGTTGATGGTAATGTAAAAGCTGGGCAACCCATGCGTGGCCATCAAGGATCGTATCTGGTCGCGCATCACCAGCTTGGACTGTGAGGAACCCGGTACGTGAGCATTGATAAGATTGACTTCCTTCATCAAGCGCAGGACACGACGCTCCTCCGGGGTATTTGCAGTAACACTGTCCCCTGAAGCCACTCTTTCCGATACGGTATGGATAGTGGCAGGGGAGACCGTGCCAAATTGAGCCGCCACGTAGTCAAAATTTGAGCGTTTGACTTTGAGGCTCGTGTGTAAAAGCAAGGCTCTTCTTTGAATTATGTTGAACGCCGTAAACAGGAACGAGTAATGCTCTTGGAAGCGACGGTCGGCCAGGCTACATAGATGTTTGACATGCCGTTTGAATCCCAACGTTGAAAATCTGGAATCATCTTCAAGGCCGCCAAGTCCGTAGGGGAAAAGAGTCGGGTACATCATCGGGAAAAGGTGCGGGTTGTTGAATTCATTAACCGCTTTTTTATCATGAGGGATTTCAACATAATTGTTCCCTGGCTTACGCATGTGTTTCAGGGCGGCAGCTCGGAGGTCACTGGAGGGCGCATTTCCATTCACGTCCGCAACGACGACGCTTTGAAACTGAGCAGCACTGGGAGCCGGCGGACGGAGCAATTCCTCGGAACAAGACAGGATCGGGAGGTGCGGCCGACCCAGGGATATAACTGGATGTCGTAGAATCTATACCGGCATTGGGTATGACGTGCTGTATGTGGAACGGGGGAATAATCTCGTCAGGCTGATCGGCAAGGACTGGCTGGTCAACAACAACGTCGCGGTACAGATGGTTATGAATTTTCAACCACGCCAAAGCCTTCATCACCCGTTCTTTCCTCACGATCAAAGGAGTGGCCTTAGTCCTCAGCCATTCAGCCGTGGGTTTGTTTGAGCCTACAAAAACGACGCAGATGGGAGTGACAACATCAGATAAGGAAGGGGGAAGAGTTTGCGCAATCGCGGAGGGACGCTGGGGGTAAATAATGATGTGGCCGCTGTGGTGTGGACCGCGGTATTATACGCGTCTTGGACAATTTGTGTCCTAGTGTGACGTTTATAAATGTTGTTCGTCCTCTAGAGGTTTATTGAACAAGCTTGGAGCCTTGTCTCGCGCTCGGAGTTGGGGGAATTGGGTGTGTGTGTTTTAATTCAGCGTTCTCTGCTGGAAGGAGTACTATCTACAGGCTCCTCGACAAGTTGTCGAGGTCCGTGGCTATGAATTCGTCCGACTTTATGTCGAATGGGCTCCTAGCCTTCCCGTTTTCTGGGATTCGAGTCGTATTCTTTACAGACCGCTCGGGAGGGGACGTCGAGGCCGCGAATAGAGGTCGAATCGTCAGCTATGACGAGGAATATATGGTTTAATTGATTTGTCGTGATTCTCGTCGCCCCGTTTGTTGACGAGATTCTGTCAGTGCCGGACGTTGACAAACTGTGAGTATGTTTCGAACTCCGGAGCTGCTAAACTCTGGTCTCCCGCTCCTTTATGCCCAAGTTTTCTTCGTCTTCCCTTCCCAATTCTCTTTGGTCAAGGCTTTTCCAATGTAACAGGGATCCCGCTGAGCCGCCTACTGCGCTTGCTGGCTGTTATTATGCCGGTTCCACCTCTAGAACTCCGGTTTCTGTCCTGAAGCCTTCGAACGCCCTTCGATTTGGCGTATTCCAAAAGGCTACCGCCGGATTCTTCTTATTCCGGGACCTTGTTCCTTGGTTCGTGTAACTGCGTCAAGTGAATGAACGATGTAGGTTTTCGCAGACCCAACTCGCCCTAGCTAGGCTTATTGGATTTTAGGTGTGGGGGATACAAGATGTCCAACTCCTACTAATTTCTCCCTATTTATACTCCCAGCCTGCCGTACGCAGGCTGTGCCATCTCCAATAGTCTCGCACCCGTCTCACGTTAACCCCTTTGGCATCCGGAGGTGCTTGCCTCTGCCTCAAAGTCTCCCTCCAGTGTTGCTGCTCGGTCCACTTGCGACAAACGCCTCCGGAGTTGAGGCATACTGCTTTTGCTGCTCAATTCCTGATTTTAGAGCTCCTCGGACCTAAGGTTTTGCCCGCTCCGGACACGAGTTCTGAATATTTTGGTCCTGCGTCGAATTTCCTTTTTGGGCGCGATATTCAAAAATCGTCCGGAGGCTTGAGATTCGTTCAGCGGAATAAGAATGGTTGCTTCCTACGGCGGTTCCTCGGTTACGAGATCCTCCGGAGCACCATATTTGACAGGGACGGTCGCGAATCCGCCAAGTTCGAACGCGAAAATTCAGATAAACCATACTTCACGAGTTTTCCTAGGTCCGGAGCTAATCTGCGGAATCGAGGTGGTTGGTCCCGTCGTTATCACGGTGTACATTCTTCCGGACGCGTCAAAAGTCGCGCGTGTCGCGTATTTTTCGTTGCGCGTCGCGTGATCACGTGCTCGCGAAGCCGCTATATTAATTTTTTCTAGCCTGCGGCCGCGTAGGGTCGTGCGGCCGCGTAGGGTCGTGCGGCCGCGTAGGGTCGTGCGGCGTCGGGGGCGCGCGCTGGGAGCGCTCCTGCAGAAATTCGGCAGCAGTAGACGCGCGGAAGCGCGTTTTCTTGTGAAAAAGGCGTAAAAGACGTCGTTCGGGCGCGCGGAGGGCTTCTGCGACTTGGTTTAAGTGCGCCGGAGGTGCAGATTCACGCTGCCTTCCCTGCTGTATCAAAATCTGAGCGGCTGGATGCCCTTCTTTCGCAGTTTAAGCCCTCTTCACGGAATAACCGTCTCATTTTCCGGCGCTGAGCCCGTTTATCGCGTAAAAACTGACTCCGGAGCGCGTAGGTCCCTCTTTCTCGCGTCCGGTCGTACCCTAGCGTCGGTAATTCGGCGGCTTCCTCGTCCTGTCGTTCGAATGGTCTTTTACTCGTCCTTTCGTCGTGTTTTCGACGCGTAGAACGCGTCCGGAGGGCGTGGGCGCGCAGCGGGAACCATATAATTCGAGTTTCGCTTCGCCGGAGTTGCGTGCGCGCAGGCTTCTCGTGTGCTGAGGAGTAATGGGTGCCTGCCTGTGTCCGTAGATGGCCTAGGGTGTGGCCCCCGGCCTGCCGGGCACGGCATAACGCGTTCGGAGCGGCATAACGCTTGCCATCTGGGTTCGTAACCTCCTCCGGAGCGCGTTTTCGCGCATCCTATCCTTATTTCCGCGTTCCTGCGCGCGTTCTTGATTTTTATGAGGAGGCCTTAACCCGTTCCAAGTCGCGAAACGAATATTTTCGTCGAAGTCCGCGCCTTGCTTTTCTTGATTGGTTCTATATTTGGCTGCTCTCCCCCTTCCTTTGTTATTCTGCGATCATATCGTCCGCCTAGCTCAACGGTTAGAGCGTCAGACTCTTAATCTGAAGGTAGCGAGTTCGACCCTCGTGGTGGGCTGCGCGTGAGCGCGCCTCCTTTTTGGGGCGTGGTCCGATCTCTTCGAATATTGGTTATAGTCAACCTCCCGTAGCGGTTGGTACCGCGTCCTCGTAATCCCTTTGTCTTTGCGAGGTTGCACGTTCGATTCATGCTCGGGGAATTTCCCAGAGCCTTTTCCTTTTTTCACGACTCTTTTTGCAACGGTCCCGCGCACCCTCTTCCGGTCCTTGGACAATAATCGTTTCGGAGGGTACCCAGGTTCGATTCCTGGATGGGGCGTAACTGACTCGAAACCTTTTTGCTGTTGGCTTGTTATCGGTCCGGTGGCACAGTTGGTAGTGCGCCGTTGCTGGGTATTCCCCAGTAGACGGAGGTCCTTGTTTGAATCAAGGTCGGATCATGGCGGTCTTTTCGTGTGATTTTTATTTCCCTCGCCGTTGCCTTAACGCTTTTCGCGGTCCGGTCTCTTTTTACTCGTTCCGGAGGTGCTTGTTCGATTCCAGGTCAGATCGTGCGTTCGACGGCAGGTGTTGGTGTTTTTGGTTGTTCCAGCGATCCTTTCTTTACTGTCGTCCCGGAGCGGGTCCCATGGTGTCCATTTTACTGTTAAGGCCAGGTTCCGGAGTCGACACAAAGTGGAGCCTCACATCTCCTTTTTACTTTTGAAATGCCGAGCGCCCCCGTTCGGCGATCCCCATATAAAAGGCCATCAATTCGAGGTGAGTGATCCCATTCCTTCATGGACGTCTGCGCACTTGGAAGGTTCCACCGCTCCGTTACACGTCTCCCGCTTGACTCGTACGCACTTCCTCCCGGAGGTCTTCGTCACTTTCTCCGCGAGGATTTGCGGTCCAAAATATTCCTGATTTCGCTGGGCGTCTTCGAGGATCGATGGGCTACTCGCACCGTTGCGTCCCTTACCCCTGACGCAGCCTTCAATCTACGCGTCTGCCTCCGTATTGTTGTGGAGCATATGGTACGTTTCCGGCGGCCCTTCGTTTTCCAGCGTAATAACTTCTTTCCAGTATTACGCCGCTCGTCTTCGTCAGAACGAGCTCCGAGGGTGCTATAGTCGATTCAACATGCCCACGGAGGCCAGCTGGATGTTTTATCTACTCGGCGCTCTTCTCCTCGCCGTCGGTTTCGAGGGCGACGATGGTGTCAAGGAACGCGGAATTGGACCTCTGGAGATGGCCTTCTCGGAGGCTGTTTTCCTCCTGCGTTGCAGCTCGGAGACGTTTCTCCTTCACACCGCCATGAATACCCCTCGTCCCTTTGATTACGAGGAATATGACCCTCATCGCACTCTCGACGATTTCTTTCCCCATCGTCGATCACCCTCCACCTTCGCACGTATACCCCTCCAAGACCCTTCTCCAGTCACTTTCAATATTCAAGAACGTCCGGAGTTCTGGAGTGATGCAGGAAGGATAGTCGAATCCACCCTTCTTGCGTTATCTCGCGTCTCGACGGATATTGAAGTCGAGATTTCCACTACGGGGGAAGCGTTGAGCGTGTCGAAGAAGAGCGTCGAAGCCATAGTCTCAGCGATGGTACACCCTTCGCCCCGTTCTGCGGATCTTGCTGAAAAATCCAAAGGGATCCGTTCCTACGTCGCTCCCGGAGTCGGTACTGGGTCTGCTGCGGTCCAGGTTGGTTCCTCCGTGACCAGTTTGCGGGAACTATGGGTTCCGGCGCTCGTTCCTACGAGATTATTTGGGGCGCCCGATTTAGAATAACCTCCGATCCGTTTCTGTATAAAGCCTTCGCGTTTTCCCAATAAATTTTCTTCCTCCAGTACTGCCCTCCGCCTTCCTTTCTGCCATGATTTACAAACCGCTTGCCCTCACTCGCACGTCGTACGGCGTCGTCGAAATTTATGTCATAGTCAACGAATATTGCCACCAGGCCATTCGGTACCACAGCAACAAGACGTCGTCCATCATGGAGCGCGTTATTCGGCCCTCTGTGTACTTGCTGAAGCAGAAGCTCCGTGGTGACGCCTCGGACTGGGTCTCCGCCAAGGATCTTCATCCGGACGAATTATACCTCGTTCGCAACAGCGTCCGGAGCATGATTGACGTCTTGGTAGGCCTTATTCCGCTATATTCCTTTTCTCTTTTACTGATCCTTGCCTCGTTATGCTCTTCCCAGCGTCTTCTCATGGATAGTGGAGCAGCGTCTCCTACTCCGGAGCAGGTTCTAGAAGGGGCGGAGGGAGAGTGTCGATCCGGCGCGATACGCGCGACTTCCCTCCTCTGCCTCCTCGACTTCTATGTCATGCTCCTCGTATACTGCACGGATCCTGAAACCGAACTCCCATTCCCAGCTCACGAGAGTTTAGTCATGGAGGCGGTCCGGATTGCTCGTTCTTGGGATATTTTGGATCCAGCGGTCGATTTCAAGGGTTATGGTCCCCTCTATCGTAGGCAGACCGTATCTATTGGTGTATGAGGCCCCGCCGGACGTCGCGTAGAATATTCGCGACATAGAGCGTTCCATCAGACAGCTTTTGTGCCCTTTTTAGTGATTGTCTGATCTTCGGAGGCTCGATTTTCCTATAAGAATGCCGTGGTTTTTGGAGTCCCCTTCCTCATTCGCTCGATGGATTCCCCAGTCCACAATTCTCCTCCGCGTGCTCCGTCTCCGGAGCTTTCTGATGACGAGGAGCTCAGCGTTTCTTGCCAGGCTTCCCGCGCCTGCATGCATATTGCGCGCCTCGAGATTTCAGAAGAGACGTTCATGCAGCGTGAACACTGGGTCCCTCCGATGCCCATCCAAGAGATTATTCCACGGGTTCTTCGCCCCGCCGTCTACCTTCTTCACCAGGCCCTCGACCCGTATTACATCGGGCGCATTTGCGGACCGTATCACCTATCCCGGACGACGTACGGCATGGTGCGGCGCGCCCTCCGGAAGATGCTAGAGCTTGTGGTACGATCGTGTTCCGCGGAAGAAAATTTCCTTGCTTATTCACCGCCTATTCCCCTTAGTGCCTCATTTCTCTGCAACGGCCGGAGTACCCCTCCTATGTCCAAATCTGGGACGGAGTTATGGATCACAGCGTTATTCCTCCCGAGCCCATTGTTTCGGATCGATCGAAACGCGTCTTTGAAATCCTCTCTGATCTGGTGGATAATTACGGGTTCGAGGGCAGCGAGCGTTGCGAGGCCCTAGAGCTCGAGCATTCCCTCCGGCACCTTTCGAGAGTGTCCTCCTGCTGGGCACTTTTATTGCAGACGCGTGGCGAGTATCCGGAGTACGAAAGATCGGGGCGTATGATGCGTCAGCCCTTGACCACCGGGTGGTGACGTCGATCGCAGAGCTTCCGTGATGGATCTACTACGAACTCCGGCGAGCTGGCCCGTCTTTAACATAGCGAATTGGCTCGTTGTTGCTTTGAATATGAATTTCTTTTCGTGACTTGAATTTTGTGACCGCCGTCGATATGGAGGTTGTCAATTCCCGCCTCTCGAGGCTCTCCGCCCCTTCGCAATTCGCGGTACTCCACAGAGTGTTTCAGCAGCTCGACGCTCGTCCGGCTCCGGGGGAACTATGGCGTCCGAACCTTCCCCTACGCCAGTACCTGCTTATCCAGGGCCGTTTACCCCTCTCCACGCTTCATATGCTGGTGGATCCGTTCTACCACCTGCAGCCTTCCTCCGCCGATTTTTCGGAGGCGGATAATATGTCGATCCGTGAAGCTGTGACGACGATCCTCTCCGTCCTCGTGAGTTTCCTTGAACAACCTGGTCCGGACGTGGATTTTCTGACCCCTCCGGCGGCTCTTTATCAGGATCGTGTCGCGTTTTATATCCTTTCCATCGAAGTCAAGCTCAAGGATCATGGTCCGAGCATGCCACGCTACGACATATGCGTCACCAGCGAATGCCTCAACATGCTGAGGATCCTCCGGGTCTTTATTGATGCATTTGGCTTCGCCGGAGACGATAATACCTTCCAGGTCCAGCGCTATCAAGAGGTTCTTGACGCGCTCCGCGTTCGTGCGCAGGGGTCCTTCGACATCCTGGGGACCCCCAAGGAATTTCCCCAGTTCGACGGATGTGGCCGTCTCGTCCGCCCATCAACTCCGGCGTCTTGTTAGCGCGCAGTGATTTCCCTATAAAGGATCCCGGATCCGCTTCGTACTTCCATACTTTCCCTCTTTGTTCTTCGTAGCCTTCTTGATTATGGCACTCAGTTTGCACTTCTCAAGGACTATCGTCTCGACGAGTCCCCTACTCTTCGCCTCCGGTCCGACTTCGAAGTTGTGTACCTCGACTTCGACTCTGAAATCGAGATGTCGAACTATCTTCGCCGCCCCGTCATGCGCCAATTCTGCCTGGAGGTCCTTCGCCCGCTTCGTGACGTCATTATGGCGCTGCGCGATCGTTTTCACAATGCGAGCCCGGTCCCGCGTGATTCGCCTTGGATTCGTGGCCAGCTCGGGGCGTATATGATCCATATTGTGAGGACTGCTCCCTCCGGTGGCACCCCTTTGGCTCTCGCTGATGCTTTCCTCGCAGGATAAAATATTTCTCGCCATCGACAGATCGCATCCGGTCGGCCCTTATACTCGCGTACCCACTCCGACGCCCAACAGCATTGCGTATATGATCCAGCTCGTCGAACAATTCGGTTTCATTGGCGACGAATTTAGCTGGGTGGAGGACGACCTGAAGCAGAAGCTCCGGGCGGTGTTTATGCACGCGAATGATACGGTCGCTGCCATGAACGACAGGCTAGAGGACGAGGCCCTCCGCGCTTTGTCTTTCCGGCGTGGTTCCTCGCCGTTGGAGGGATCCTGTGCCGAGCGCTCCATCGAAGTCGAGTCGTTTGAGCTCGACAGACGCGTAGATAGCCTGTCTTTGACTGCTCCGGCGTAGCACTACTCCCAGCGTTTCTTTGTCGCGTAAATTTTGGTTTCCCCAATTTGATCTGCTCGTCCGGGCGTGATGTTACCACCATTTGATCGATGGATTCTCGAGCTTCGCTATAAAGTCGACCGCTCCGGAGCC